AAAACTCAGGGAAGAAAAGAACCCTTTCATACTTCCAAGAATAATAGGCTTATTTAAAAAAAATTGTAATGATTACCATCAAACTAATTTTTTTCTAAGCCTAACCAAAAATGTTCTCAATTTTGCCTTTAGGAAATGATTCCAGCAAACCTAATGAGCCCACTATTGATCATTTTTAGTGAAAACTAACAATTTAATGTAGCAGAAAAGTACACTTGTCTTTCTCTTAAATTCCCCTCATGGTTTCAATCCCTTCCTGTCTGGCACAGCTATACCGTACTGCGGTTGGCTGATGTAAACAGCAGTACATGGTAAAATAGCTGTGTTTCCTGCCCTCCTCCTAGAGGCCCAAGTGACAGAGTGATTGATCTGTCTCTTCACAGGGAGGTGGAGCAACAACATCTTACTCCCAATCTAGCTGAGCAGGGGAGGCCTAGGAGGTTGCTGAGCTCAGAACAATAGGTAATGGGTACACTCTGTTCACAGACACAAAAGCAGGAAGACACCAAATCTACGTTTTCTTAGATTCAGTTCTTAGTGTTGCTTCATGGAACATCAGGGTTAAGTGGAATAGTTTGGAAACTTGTGACCTAGTGCTTCTACTCCATCCAAACCATCCTAGGAAATGGCTTGTTTGTTGTTCAGTTAGTGCTGAACATCTTGTTCCTCTGAATGAAAGTCAGTTTGCAAGTGTAGTTAAAATGTGGATGTAGATGACCAAAGGAGGAATGTACCTGCGTTATAAACCATGGAAACTGAAATCTACTCCCTGTGCAGAAAAGATGCTTCTATGTGAAACCAAAGCATATCTAACTAGCTCATTCTATCTCTGTATCTATACATATAGACATAGACAGAGATAGCTAGCTAGATATATTAAATCTTCTCCTTTACATGAAAATATTTTCTGTCCTTTTCATCACCAAATTGCAGGGCACCTTACACTATGAATGAGCTTCTAAATACCACATAAAATCACCTGATTCAAACCTTTGGCCTGTACCCATTGGAGAGAAAGCTGGAAGAGGGAATAACTATATATCATCATTCACACTTTGCCTACCCAAAACCCCCTCTTGCTCTAATGTTCATGGTTTAGAACAAAGAACATTTTTTTTGTTTCGAGAATTCTTTTTGAATTAGAAGGCAGTTATCTTTAATTCTTCATCGAAATTCCTGAAAAGATCAGTTCAAGTGTCACCTACATCAAGATCTTTCTTCAGTCTCCCTAGTTGTCAGTGGCCCTGTCTCCCTGTCAACACAGACTCAGAAAGGTTTTCAGATATCAGTAGTTCAGTACAAGAAAACATGTGGCTCACAACAAGATAATAAAGCAAGCCAGCTTTGCTGAGGCTTCTGTTGGCCTTCTAGCATGTCAGTGAGATTAGTGTATTCCTTACACACCCCAAATTGTGTTTATTTACTTTCTACACTTCCTATGTGTACTTACCTGTGAATGAGTTGAATCCCCATAGAAGAATGTATCCCTATCACTCTGGGCTCCTAAATTTCAGGTTCTAAGCTGCAACAACAACAGCCAGCAAAGAATTGGGGATCCAGGTAGGGGTGGGTTGGGCCTGCCCATGTTAAATGACTCCTCCTACCTTGAAGGTCTCTTGAGTGAAAACAATGGCTACTTTCTTGAAAGATACAAAATTCCTTCCTCCCCGCATTCCCCAAAGGCTTGCACTAATCAATCACAGCTATCCAGAATTTACATGTATTTTAGATGATTATTGGGAAAGGATCTTACAAAATGGCTTTTAGCTGAACTTTTTAAAGGACAGATGTGTTATCTTTCTTCTATATTTATTATCAAATGTCAAGTGCAAACTCTCTATGACAGTCTTCCTCTGATGTTGCATTTTAGCTTGGATGTGACTATGGATGTCTGACAGGCCATTTCAGCCAAGGTACAATAGGTGTGAATATCTGTTTGGCAACGACTGTGAATCTACTGCCTTAGGAACCAACCAGAACGGTTTGATATTGTAATTTATATAAATTCCTCTTCAAGAGCTAAGAGATGCCCTCCTAACTCCCTAGAAGGTATTCAGTTGGTCTACAATGAATCATTATTAAAAAGTAATTATTTGCAAGGAATAGCTCACTGGGTAGAAAAGGGAGAAAAATGAAGGTGTTATTAAAACAAAAAAAAATCAATGAAAAAAATTAAAGAAAAGTCTAATTGCACCAAATTCTGAACTCTGAATTCCTTGCATGAAGGATAACAATTTATTTGGTCTGTTAACTTCTGTCCTATCAGCAATTTAATAAGTATATGTTGAGCACCAACTGCATGCAGAGCAACATGCTAGATGGAAAAGATTTAGAATTTAGATAAACAGCCTGTACAATAGCTGTTACATAGGCAAAGGTACCCACTGCTGGACACAGCCATAATGGGATCTTAAGAAATTGCAACAAAATCTAATGTAGGTAATGTATTAAAACTTCCTTGCTACAAGATTTATTTTTACCCATTGAAATTGATATTTGGCTTAAGTCCTTAAGACCAGATTCCAAGGAAAAGGCAACAAGGGAGCCATATTTTTTATTGTTTATTTTGCCTGGTTCTAGCAGCTGAGGCTACCATAGGTCAATGAGCAAAATGAGGGCCTGGAATGTCTGAAATGTTGTTGGTTGCAGTGGAGTTCAGTGCCAGAAGCTGATTTGGGGAATTATTTAGTCAATGATTCTCAGCACACCCCTCCCCCTCGGTCCAATCAGCTGGTAAACTAGCCAGCCAAGGCCTATTAAATGCGCAGATTGGCAGCAGGACATGGAGTAAAGGGTCCTATGCTGCAGTAGGGAATAAAAGTCCCCCTAAGGGAGAAGTGGACAATCTTTCTCATTAAGTTCCAAACCTACTCAATATGTCATCTCAATATGAGTATTTATCTAGTTTATTAGGAAGCTAACTGGGGCAGTGAGTAGAATGCTGGGCCTGGAGTCAGGAAGATCTAAGTTTACATCCATCCTCAGATACTAGTTGTGAGACCCTGGGGAAGTTGCTGAAGCTGTTTGTCTCAGTTTCCTCATCTGTAAAATGAGGATATTAATAGCACCTACTTTCCAGGGCTGTTGTGAGGATCAAGTGATATAGTCATTGTAAAGCACTTTACACAGTACCTGGTACTTAGTAAGCACTATACAAATGTTAGTTGTTTGATGATGATGATGATGATGATGATGATGATGATGATGTTCTAGCCTCAGACACTAATTGAGGGACTCCAGGTAAGTCATTTAACCTCTTTCTGCCTCAGTTTCCTTTTATAAAATGGGAATCAAATGGGATAATATTTGTAAATTACTGAGCAAGGTCCTTGGCATGTAGTAGGTACTTTATTACTCATTACCTTCCTTTTAGGTTCTGTGCTTAGCATCAAAACTTTAGAGCCTAAGATCACTGTCACAGAAACTTTCATTGGAACCTCAATGCATACTGGAAAGGAATCCCTACCATAACACAGTCAAAGATCTAGTCCTGCTCAAAGACATCCAATCAAAAACTTACTACCTCCCAAGGTGGGCCACCATACTTCTGGATAGCTCTAATGTTAAGGTGATTTTATTGACATCAGATCTACTAAATTTGCCTCTTTGTGATGTCCACCTACTGTTCCTGGATCTATCATCTGGGTAAAAACAGAGCAGTCTCCTTAGTCCCCTTTCCACAAATTAAAATATTTGGAGACAACTATCATGTCCCACTGGGTCTTTTTTTTCCCCCCCAGGCTCCTTAACTTGATCTTCCCAGATCCCCAAAGAAGGGAACAAATTATAAGCAAAAGATAGACAGTACTTTTCTTTTATCTCTCTAGGTGAATATTTTTTGAATCTGGGAACATCTATCATTTGTTTCTAAGTGTGCTCACATTTGTGAAAAGCAAAACATATACTTTTTAAAGTTGCAACATCATTGAATTAAACAGCAAGGGGTCAATCTGACTCCAGAAGAGATTGCATGAAGAACTGCTAACAGTCCCAGTAGTCTGTAATCTCCCCTATGAGTGAATAGTTAAATGTGGATGCTACGAATTTTTTAAAAATTTTGATAATTATAATCATTAAGAGAAGTATAATGTTCAGAAAGGGAAAGGTAAGGTATACTACTCTATTCTGCACTGGTCAGACTACATCTGGGGCACCTAGGAAATGTAATGGATAGAGTGCTGGGCCTGGATCAGGAAGACCTAAATTCAAATCATACCTCAGACACTTACTACCTGTGTGACCCTGGGAAATTCATTTAACCTTTGTTTCCCCCATTTTCCTCAGCTGTAAAATTGAGGATAATAACAACACCTACCTCACAGGGTGGTTGTGAGGATCAATTAAGATAATATTTATAAAGCAATTAGCAGAGTTCCTGGCATGTAGTAGCCACCATATAAATGCTTATTTGCTTCCCTCTCCCTTCTGAGGCATTGCATTCACGTTTGGATTCTGTATTATAAGAGGAAAATGGCAAAAGGGAGTTTCTGGATAGGAAGCTGATTAGGATAGCATGAGTATATGAAACCATATGTTATTAAGAAAAGTTGAAGAGGGTAGAAATATTTAGGTTGGAGAAGAGAACACTCAAAGGAGTATCCTTATTCTTATAGTTGAAAGATTGTCACCTCAAAGAGGCATTACATTGTGTGACTCCAGGAGTCAGATCAAATAGCATACTAATTACCAATGTCATCCAAACGACATACCAATTATGAATCAATATTAGGTAATCAAGCCAATGTCACACAAACAACATGCCAGGGACACGCAATTACACACCAATGTTACTTGAACAACAAGCTAATCACACATTACATAAACAACATACCATTCACACACCCATGTCAATCAATAATGCCAGTGTTACATGAACATACCAGTGTCACACAAACAACATACCAATTAAATGCCAATTTTATGTGAACAAGGAAATTACACTGTTATATTGTTTATGTAACACTGGTGTATAATTAGTGTGTTTTGTGACATCGGTGTGTTGCTTGCATGACATTGGTGTGACACTGACATGTAACTGACATGGTATGTGTGTATAAGCAGTGTGATTATTTAATTGGCATGACATGGGCATGTAATTAACTGTAGTTTATGTGACACTGCCATGCAAGTGGTGTAGTGCTTTAAATCAGTATGGTATTTGCATGGCATTGATTGGCATGCTTATGAAACACTGGGATGATATGGGCATGTAATTGGTGTGATGCTTAACATTGGCAGTCAATTGGCATGTAACACTGTTGTGACATTGGCATGATAATGATGTGTAATCTGGTGTGTGATTGACACGACATTGATATGTAAAGGGTGTGGCACTTAGATCAACATGTAGTTGTCCAATGCCACAGCAATCACACACACCAATGTCATACAAACTAACATCAAATTACACACCAATGTCATATCAGTGTCACATAAATGGCATGCTGATACTGTGAAAAACCTCACACCAAGTATAGACATGGCTCTTTCATTCCTCTTCCACAGCTCAGTTCACAATCGGTCATGGCTCTGTCATGGATATGCCTGGAGGATGTGAGGGGAGAAATTCCAATTTATTTTCATTTCAGTGGTGATAGAGGATTTTCAATGATTCCTGATGAAAACACCAGAAGTATGTGGAAACTCTGAAACACAGGAGTCAAAAGAAATTTAAACATGAGCAAACACCATAAGGGGCTAAACAAGGATAAACTACCTGCATTCTTATATGAGAAGATGATACATGTCTCTTCTTTGACCTAAGACCCAGTCTAGGCTTTTGGTGCCTCCTGATCAATCAGCCAGCAAGTCTGTGGCAAGGATCCGGGAGGGAGGGGGTAAGCCTATAAGCTGAATAACAGTCAACACGGGGACACGGTGGCCCCAAAAGCTAACATAATGTTCCTTATTGTCATAGAGGGGCATGGTCATTCACACCAGAAGGCCAACCCACCTTTCCCAGATGTAGCCAATTATGATATTCTCTTGGCTTTTTCTCTATATAGAAATACATCTGCCCAAAGACAAGGAAGGAAGGCTTATACCAAACAGCCAGATTTTTTCTTTGCTGAGAGGTTGGACAAGTGATTTGGTGGGAATATAGCCCAGAAAACAAACTGAAACAAGATTTGATGATTATCTGTGGATTTGAATGATCCATGTTACCAATCTTCCTTGATGATTAGCGTGCATAATTAAGAGCTGACATGGCAGTTTAATAAACATCTAAGCTAAAATGATATTAGCAGCTGTGACCAGAAAAATAATTAAAACCACTCAAATTTTCTAATAAGAGATGAAAATCAAGGCAACTTTAAACTCATTAATCAGGAAAAATAGAAAAAAAAGGAAAAAATTCAACTCTAGGGATAATGTGGTATAATTCAAGGGTTCAAACCCTGGTTTTCTGTCTTTGGGTAAGTCACAATATTTCTAGGCTGAAGTTTCCTCATTTACAAAATAGTGAGGTTAGACCAGATGGCTTCTGAGGTCCTTTGGGTTCCAGAGCTATAACTAAAACAGGTACTTGATTTTCTTGTTAGTAGAACCAAGGACTTGTGAAATTTTTTGAGAGCAAACTGAGAGTAAGAATCAAAATCACAAAAGTGGTTAATATCCTTTGGTCAAGCAAAAAAAAATACACTGGAGGGGGGCTTTATCTGTATAAAAGTATTCATAAATGTTTATTTTTAAAAAAATTTATATTGGTGATTTATGTTTTAACCACTTCTTTACCTGAAATGTAAAAAGCTAGAAATAACCTGTAGGTCCCAAAACTGGGCAACAGCTGGATAAATTATGGATGATAATGTAATGGACTTGGTTGGCACCTTAAAAATATAACTATGAAGAATACAAAAGAGAATATTAAGAATGATGCAAGGTGTCATGCACAGAATAAGAAAACATGCATGAATTAGATGCTAAGAAACTAAAACAATGGATGATTGAGGAAGTGTATTAGCTGAATTAACTTAATGTTGTCAACATTTATATTTTCCTTATCTTCCTTAAAATAAGCTTTAATTTGGTAGTACTTTTAGGTGATTTACTTCACATTGGGATTATTTTTATTAGCACTTCTTGTGACTGTTACATTCATAATAATGAAAAAGATAAAGGGTAAAGAAATACAAAAAAATCTGCTAAAGCAGGTGAACGTTTCGTTTTGTTACCACACTGATACTAGCTGAAGGCCCGGGAGTACTAGAATTAAGACAATATTTTCAGTTGCCCATTTTCTAAGTTTAATGAAGCAAGGAAAGGAGTTGGCAACCAAAGGCAGTTTGAGGCACTGCTATAAAACTAAAATTTCACTTTAAAATTGTTGGCTATTTTAAAAAAATGGGGAAATGTGATCTTTTTTCCGCTCTTGAACACATCAGACTACCATTGAAAAGAATAAATGGAGACAAAAATCTATCAAACTCATCCCCTTAAGTTAGGAGGTAGTGACCAAAGGATTTCGGGAAAACAAATTAAGAAAGATATAAGAGGGGTTCTAAAAATAAGTCTCACTTGTAAGATAGGTGTAGAAAATGGCAATGCAATTAGAGTAGCTGATGACACATGATTTGTATGACTAGCCATGCATCACTTAAGACAGAAAACAAGAATAGCTTTTGGCAGGTATTTAGAGGAAAGATTCTCTCCAAATCATTTTGCATAAGCAGAAACTGTCTAAGGGAGCCAAAACTTCAAAAGAATCCTATGGTGAGGTGTTAATGATCCCTGGGATACTTTCTGGAAATGGAGAAAATCAGTGCAATGGAAAAGAGGATCTTGAGGGACTCTGAATAGGTTAAGAACAGAAAGCAGAAGATTGCATAATATTCTTATGAAATTAATTCTCTTTAAGCTCTCCTTGCCTACTATAAAACTAGATCATTCCATCCCTTGGAAATTACCTTTATAATGTCTGGGCAAATGGACTACCTTATACCCCAATCCTAGAAATCCCAGGTTTTTGTTTGTTTTTAAATAAAAGCCAAATAGAGATGAATGCTATAAATAATTTATACCTTCCAACAGCTTGGTCCTCAAATTATTTATGATAAAATAAGGTAAACATCCTTCAGAACATCTACAATCATATGGACCATTAAATGAAAACAACTGCATTATTACCAAATCTCAGTCATAAAAAAGTGAATAGCTTTTAAATGTATCATAGAGAGAAAAAAATGCTTATGTCATAATTACAAATGGGATAGTGAGATGAAGAAAGCCTGGTTGCGTTTGCCTGACTTACTAGGTTGTGAGTTGTACATATAATTTTAAATAGACTATTTCCATATATCCCCTACAATCTTATTTTGCCTTGGGACTAAGAAAAGAAGACCTGATCCATTGTCACACCTCAAAAAATACCTAGGCCCAGCCCATGCTGAGTGGGTACTACTCTCTTATGCTTTTCAATGGCCAATTAGCCAAATCATCCCAAGATCTGGCTCTAAATAAAGCCTGATAAAGTAGAGCTGGGCCATTATCTTAACTTATACCATGCCACTGGACTCCAATGACTCTAGAAGAGAGAGTGAGGCTGATGACTTTGCAAAGCTCTGCCTCACTTAAATCAAATTCACTTGCAAGTCAAGATATTATTTTCCCAACGTCATTGGTCCTCTTTGAGAACAAAGGACAAGCAATGACAATAAAGTAGAAGACAGCCAAAGTGCAAGTACCTTCAAGATGTTAGGAGAAAACAAGGAAGGCCTCTAGCACATTGAGTGTAACCCCAGTGGTAAACTTCTGGGTGGAAATGAACAACAGTTGTAGAGGATGAACAGGTATGGATAGGATGTCATCAGAGGGATCTCCCAAACTGATGAGGTCAGAGAGCCATCTGAGTGTTTCCATATGTGCACATACAATCATATAAAAATATATATATGTGTGTGTGTGTGTGTGTGTTGCACCCACATGATTGTAGAGGAAGGTGGGAATGATGACAAAACATTAGGCTAAGGTGAGAAGATAGATGTCCTCTATGTAAGAGAGACTAACAGACAACTGAGAAGGCATTTTTCCTGGCAGAAAAATATGAAAAACTTACTGGGTTCATCAGGAGTGAGAATGTCTGGGGATGAAAACTAAGACCTCAGTTTTACATCCATCATTTTGCTCTTTCCTCTAGGATTGTGCACTACAGCAGGGATGTCAAACTATAATAGACACACAATCCACTTATCCACACAGAAGGGTTCCTATGGACTGCAGACTGACTTAGTTTTAAAGTATAATCTATATTTTATTATGTTTTTACTTATTTTATTAAATATTTCCGAGTTACATTTTATCTTGATTAAAATTTTAATCTTATTTTTAATTAAATTTAAATTGAAGCTAAATTTTATTTTTAATTACATTTTAAGGCTCCATTACGCAGTGTTGTGCATTACATATCTGCCACCTCTGCACTATAGTACCATGTACCAAAATGACAGTTCTTATTGGCTGTACCTGTGAATAGAAGCTTATAGACATAGCTCCATCCTCCTCTTCTTCCCTTCCTAAAATCTCTCAGAGAGCTTTCCTCTGAAACTTTGTCATCTCAGGCTTAAATCAATGGGCCTTATGATGAGGTTCTGTCACTGCAAGAGGATCCGACTCTGATAGTATCTAGCACAAAAAATTTTTTCCTGACCCCCATATCCCAGGTGGAAGCGATCTCTGCCTAGCCACTGAACTTCCATCGCTGTTTATTTGTGGCACTCTCATGGTGTCTTTGTGCATACATCTTTCTTTCACATTGTATCAGACCTGCAAACTCCTTACAACCAGTAACTATGACACTGTCTTTAGATCCCTCACAGGCCGATGTGGCTTACACATAGAAGCAGCTTCATAAATGTTTTATAAAATCAGAGAATGTTAGTGTTGGAAGTAAACTGCTGATGTCTTTAGTCCAATTTCCTTATCTGAGAAGAAGTGGGCCATAGGGAATAGAGTACCAGACTTATAAAGTTCCATGTTTGAATCTTAACTCTGACATTTAATTTTCTTCATTTATAAAGTAGAGATAATCATGTCTATCTATCCATCCATCTATCTATCCATTTATCTATCCATCCATCTATCTATCTATCTATCTATCTATCTATCTATCTATCTATCTATCTACACCTCTTGGGATTGATGTGAATATCAAATGAGATCATCTGTATACAGCACTTTGTGACTGTTAGAGCACTATCCACATATGTCTCAATGTCCAGATATTTTGTTTGTGGGATGCAAGGCACCTGTAATGTAAATACTCTTATCCTTCTACTCCTTCTGTCAGTGTTTTTGACCATTATCTCTGTTGGCTAAGTTGATGGCCTTCTGTTCAATCAATCAATCAATCAATCAATCAATCATCAATCAATCAGAATTCATCACATTTCTTTGGATGGCTCTCCTGACTTTCTTTATGCTCAGGGAGCAGCAGCAGCAGCAGCAAGCATTTATATGGAACTTTAAGATTTGAAAACCACTTTACATGTTATCTCATTTAATAATCACAACAACCTTTAGATATAGGTGCTTTATTTATCACTATT